GAGAGAGAGAGAGAGAGAAAAGGTGGTGGTGGATATTAGCGTGGGGTCAGAAGGAGAGTGAAGGTGGGGGAAGGGGTATAACTGACCGAGGGGTGACGAGTGAAGCTAGTTAAGCAGTCGATGCGCACACGTCTTACAGGCCGGACGTTTCTTGTCTTCTATTTCCCTCCTCGGTCACGTGACTTAAGATATTTTGTTGTTGGTTGTATTTTATTCTCTTTCTCTAACACCCATCGTATATTATCCATCCATCTTCTTTATTTACTCTCGTATGCAGAGGAAAATCATCCTGTGGTGTTTTCAACCCCCCCAAGTGTGAGTGTTGTTTCATGGGAACATGTTTAATTTTATATCGTAATTTGTTATTTGTTGTATTTTTATTCTTCTTCCTCTTCTTCTTCTTTTTTTTGTCTGTCTGTCTGTCTGTCTTTTAAAAAATAAATGGCGGGATTTTCTTTCGATTATATTTCTTTTTTTTTTTTTTGTAACGTTTTCCTCTCTCTCTCTCTCTCTCTCGATTTTGATTGATCATTTCAATTTATAAAGATAATGATTTTATAATGGCATTTTTAATCGGATATAATATACATATTTGTTTTATTTAGGGAATAAGTTTTTTGTTTTTTCTTTTTGTAGGCGTTTATATTTTTAGTTATTTGGTATTGGTAATTGTAATGAAAATATATTAATAATTTTCAAGGATCGACATCATTTATTCGCATTCCGTTTGGAACGTGACGTGATTACAGCATCATCTTTGAGGATGACTCAGATTCTTAAAGTTATACTTTAAGCATTCTACTCGTTTTTTTTTTCTTTTTTTTTTTTTTTATATATTCTTACGTTTTAATTCTTTCTTTTTGTTATGACAAATGATATTCTACGATATTTCATTATATTTCTTTTGTTTCTTTTCTCTTTTGTCCCTCCCCCACTCCCCCTATTCTATAAATGAGTTTTTAAATTAATTTTGAATATAAGTAGAGAAGAATAATCGTTTGTAAAAAAAAAAAAGAAATATATGTCGTGGCTTTTTATTTTTTTCTTTTCTTTTTTCTTTTTTTTTTCTATTTATATTACCAATTCAAAAAATTAGTAATATAATATATTCAATAATTAATATTCATTATATTAATAATCGTTTATAAATCGATTATGCTAATGAATATATAAATATATTCGAACGTTCCTCTCTCTCTCTTAGAGCTCTGGTATTTTATAGTATTTCATCGTATTTTCTACGCTCCTTCCAGCCATCCGACACTAAATTTAGTTCCTTGTCCGAAGGCACCATCTTGGAATAATCCTCTTTCGGTATTTAAGCTATTTCGAAAGCGTTTTCGTAGATATCAACTTTTCCGTTATTTCTTCAATTTCTTTCTTACATTATATCCAATTAAAAGAAACAAAAAAAAAGTAGATAAAATTGTTCGTTAAACATTGTATTTAATCAAATGAAACATTTGTTAATTGTAACGATTTTAAGAAAAGTTTCATCATTTGTTAAACCTTTAACTAACGGCATATTTTTCTTAACTCTTATCACAATAATTTATTATTCAAATCTTTAATTTTATACTAAAGTTAATTCTCTTTCTGTTAATTTTTTAATGATAATCTTTGTAATAATAATAATAATAATATAATGTACATTATTATATAAATATTATTCTAATATGTACAGAACAATTTTTATTCAAAC